GGGGGGGGGGGGGGGGGGGGGGGTTGGGTGACCTACCAGGCCGGATTGGGCCACGCGATTGGATCAAGCTGGCGAAGACCCTTCACGAGTACCGTGGGCATTACGATGCGTTCTTGATTGTCCATGGAACAGATACGATGTCGTACACAGCGTGTGCACTGTCTTTGATGGTAAGCGAGGAAGGTCGTACGTACTCACAGTAGTAGGACAGCGTGGACTGAATCTGGCCATAATCACGATCAGGTACATTCTGAAAAGTGTGCTAATGAAGGCCGTACTTGCACACTTATCGTTCGCAAAAGAAGGGTTGGAAAACGACAAAAAATGTCGAAAAGTTTAGTAAAGTAGTATATCCCATGGAAGAGTGCCCGAAATCGGTGACATCAACATGCATTGCAAAAATTTTGCAAACGCTTTTTTTTTTTTTTTTTTTTTTTTTTTTTTTTTTTTTTGTTTTTCCCCTCCCTGCCAATGGTCCGATGGACCACGGAACAGATATTCAACTGATCAGATACAGATACATTTCACTTTATCTATTTTTAGCCAAGAAGCCTGAGAAAGGTGCGCGCATGTCGCTTTCGTTTAAATTCCTTCATGTTAACCTTTTTCTTCTTCTTCTTTTTAAACGTTTTTCAGTTTTTTTTTTTTCTTTATCGACACCTTCCACGTCAATGATTTTTTTTTTTTCGTTCATGTTGACAAAAAAAAAGGTCGTTTTTTCTGAACTTTTGTTATTTATTGACAATTTGAGGTGTTGCAGAGTGTGTGTTTGTTTTTGTGAGTTTTTAATAAACTTTTTAATAGTTTTTATTCATTCCCCACCTGGCCGCATCAGCCTGGCGGCGTCTGCTCTCAGGTTCCAGGCCCCGAAAACGTCCCACCTGGCCGCATTTTGTTCCCTCCTGGGAATGGATGCATCCGTTTTATTCAGTCTACCTTCTTCCCCCGAAGACAATGTATGGTCATTAACATAGAGTAGTGATAATGCAGCTGTCCCCCAGGTAGACCCTAAAGCCAAGTACATAGCACGGAGTAGGTCATGTGAGATACCAAAAAAA